AGTAGTTCCTGGAGTAAGAGAATGAGCTGACCATTTCCACAGCCTCTTTTAGCTAAGGATGAGAATTCCATTTGAGGTCAAGAGTGAACTTGAGATCTATAATTAACTACAATCAGTATAGAGATTTTTCTATATCCAATAAATTTAGAATAAAAGTATTACTTTCATTTAATAGCACTCAGTCAAGACTGTAGAGTCCACTGTGGAATCTAGAGTCCCCAGCTGACGACATGCAAGACATGTGGTGGTTTCTGAAGTAGGGTTGCTAGTCTCATGACCAACGAGTTTTGAATTCAAAGCTCTCTTATATTGGTTGCCAGCCAAGGCTGAAGAGCCCAGTCGGTCCTATCTTATACATAGATTGGTGGTGACTGGTTCATTTAATATCTATAGTCTTAGCATGCATAATGCCACATGATGCAAAATATATCCATCCCACTATTTTACTGAAGGCAACAGAAATAGTCATGGCAACATACCAAACTGTCTTGTGGCATTGTGCAAAAGGACATGCTTATTTTGCTGTGATGTATATTCAAATATACCAGGTAGCAGTAAATATGTCAATGATTTGAGCATGTTAGTACCCACATGTAGTTAGTTTAATATATATATATATATATATATATATATATATATAAAAAAAAGAGAGAGATAGATAGAGAAAGAACTTATTTTTATCATGTTACAAGATATCAAGTCCAAAAATCAATGCTACAAATTTGTAGAAATAAAAGCCTTTAAGACAAAAAAAAAAAAAAAGTGGTAGTGGATAACATTAATTAAACTCAATTGGAAAGCTTTAATACTTTGAGGTAATTTCAATACAAAACATCATTATAACATTAATTTCCTCTAAATTTTTATCAAATTTCCTCTTTCAAATCTGGTTTTATTATTTAATAGTGGTAATGAAAAAAAAATGTTTGTGGCAAATGCGTGTCAGTACAGACACAAAAGATGCCTCAGATCACACATAGACATATCTGTCATAAGTTACATCCAGGTTCCCCCACCTTCGTTAGCAGTCGGACAGCTTGATATGTTTGGATACAGGCCTCACTGCAAATCGTCTTGATCCAGGTTTCTGCCAGTCTCTCCAGTCAATAAAAATGACAGGAAAACCACCAGTCAGCAAGACTCAGTGTCTTGTAAAGTTGGTCTTGTAGGCATTTTGTTTCTAAAGTTGCTGTGCTTGTCTGAACCAGTGTCATTTTGTTACTTCTCATCTCATTTTCTTTCTCTGCCCATTACCTCTGTAGGCAGTTGGGAGAACTATTGTTTAGGTGTCCCCCCCCACCAACCTCACTACACCAGTGTTATAATTTACAACAATTTTTTTGCCCTGCAAAACTAAGAATTACTATAAAGAAGCCTCAAAATGATGTTCTGAATACAGTTTAAGATTCAAGTCCACTGACCTTACTAGTAAGCCAAATCAGCAAGTTATTTTGGGTGGAGGAATTATTTCATGCATTTGCAAAGATGGATCAATAATGAAATTTATCTTAATCTGCTCATTACTAACCCATCAAAAGTTTATTTGGGATCCATTGTCAGGTTTCAATGAATATTTCTTCCATCACAACTACTCAGTTGACAGCTGAATGGGGCAGAAACAAATGGTGCCATAAAGGCTGAAAACCATTAGATTTAATCCACTTACTGCAAGAGCTCTTTTAGATCAATTGGCAGAGAAAAACTGGTATGAAAAACCAGACATCTGATGATAAAGACATGCAAGTGCGAGTCTCTTCCAGGAAGTTTTTGTTTATTCATTATCTGTGCAGTTTTTATTTGGGGGAGGGGGTCATCTGAATAGTTGGGATGAAAAGCAAAATGCAAAATACTTGAAAAATTAATCAAGGTTAACAATGTTTTAATAAAAAATTGTGATGTTGGAATGAAATCAATTATTAGATTAAAGATAAAACGAACAATTCTTTAAATTTCTAAATTTAACAATGAACAAAACTAGTACATTAAATGTACAAAAGTGCCCTATGCATGCTGTTAAAAGCTTCAGAAATTTTGGGTGGTGTTAAGTAGCTTTTTTTTTCCCAGTAATTATATTAAAATGAAAGCTAGTAGCTACATATATTGCAATTATTAGCATTTACCATAATTATATGAAAAATGTTGCATTATGAATGCAAGAAGAACAAAGCTGACTACGTTCCAATGACTTCCATTGAAGTGCCGTTTGTTTCTAGCAATTCTGTTGAACAAGTCATTTTGCAGTTTAAGGAAAGCCAATTCATAAAGCTAAAAATCATTAGATTTTTTTATGTAACTTACCTCAAGAGCTTTTAGCTAGGGGATTAACAAAGGAAAAATAAAACAAGACATGTTTTTTTTTAACAAACAAGATCTTTGAAAACAAAAATGTGCAACACAGAAAGGAAAAAAAAAAAAAAAAAAAAAACAAAAAAATTAAAAAAAAAAAAAAAAAAACAAGAAAAAAAAAAAAAAAAAAAAAAACAAAAAAAAAAAAAAAAAAAAAAAAAAAATTCACATCACTGGAAAAAAAAAAAAAAACTTTCCCCATAATTGAAAGTAATTTTCAATTTTTATTAAATAAATTCAAAGATTACTAACTGGAATTTCACCATGCAAAAATGGAAGCATTGCAAATTTTATTTTCAATAAAAAAGAACTTTTAAATTTTATAATCCATAAATTCAAATTAGTTTACTAAACTTTCAACATTTTCCATGCAAAATTTATGGAAGCATAAACAAGATTTTTATAGCACAAGTAAAACAGATTTTCTCATTCAACTGCACTGACAAAAGAGTTTGAAATCAATTCTGTCAAAAGTCAAAGCACTGGTTTGAAAATAGTTAAAGTTCCAAATACATTTTTAAAATCTGATAGCTATTTTTTTTTTTTTTTTTTTTTAAAAAAAAAAAAAAAAAATCATGCAAATCAAAACATTCATCAGTTGCTAGAAACAACATATTTTACAAGTATAAACTTAAGTCCTGAACAAAAGGTACTTTTGTCAAAGATTCAGATAAGGCCTAAGAAAACATTCAAAAATACTTAAAATAAAACAAACACATATGCGTGTGTGGAATATATATATATATATATATATATATATATATATCCCAAGAAAAATTTCAAAAGAACTATGACAAAGTGTAAAGTTTCTGTCCAACATCTTTTGTCCTTTAGTTACTTCATCAGACTAAGTTTAGGTCTAGACTGATGCAACTACATATGCACATTAATGAGGGATGCTGGATGATTTCTTCCCTCA